TTTATAAAGTCATTATTTAATAAACCATTATGTCCTCTTGCTCTTGGCTTTCAATTTAAGTTTGTAAATTCATATTTGTCAATCGAATTTATTGCGGGAAATCCTTTGTTGACACGCAAGTGGCGAGCGTTGCTTTGACCTTGATATTGAACACAAGGAACAGCTGATATGCTGTGCGAACACACACACTCTCACACTGTCGACCGGCGAAGAACATTTATTATTTATATGTAAAGCTCCCAAACACACTTCACACACACACACACACACACACACACACTTTTGCTGGGGCAAAACAATGCCAGCTGTGCTTGGCTTTTCTTCCTCGGAGTTTTCCGCACGTGACCAAGAAAAGCCGCGTATCCTTAAGATACTCGCACACCGACACGCACACACATCTATTTTTTTCTTGGCCAACAATAAATAAACACATACACACAGACACTCTAAGGGGCAGCCGGAAAGCGTCTAAAAAGCGCGCACACGTACACGTTCCACCGGAAACGGAAGCGGAAACCGAGACCAAGTCAAGAAAAACCCAATGTTGTGTGTGTGTGTATGTGTGCGATTTCTCTGTTTTTCTTTTTGTTGCTGTGGCCTACGAGTATTTTTTACGCTTTCCTTGCGGCTGAGATACTTTTTCTTTCCCTGGCGGCGGCGAAGGCGTTTTTCCGAAGACGTTTTTCGTGATGTTTTCGTGTTGTTATTTCGCTGACGCCGCACGGTCAGTGGTATTAGTAACGGCAATAGTGTTAGTGCCAGTGCCAGTGTGCGAGGACATCTCAAGGAACATGTTGCGCACGGAGAAAAAACACGGAGCAGACTGAACGGTCTTGGCCAGCGTGCCGCCGTCGAGAGCACGATCCGTCACCAATGTAAAAACTCAACTAAAGCGATGATGAAAAAATCTGAAACAATATATTTTTGGGGGGCGAGCCACGCACACAAACACAGATGCACGGGCGGCGACGCAGCATCGACAGGCAGGCAGGCAGGCAGGCAGGCGGCAGACAGACAAAGCGCGCACTAACACCACGGCGGCAATTTCAAAACGCAGCGGCAGAGTGGGTCCTGCCTGCTCTCTGTGTGTGTGGGAGGCTGTGGGCCTGGCTTACTAAAGGCCGCCGCCGCCGGCCGACACACACCGACACACACAGGCGGTAACTTCGCAGCAGCAGCGCTAAAAAAAAAGCATGGAAAACACAACAAAAACCGAAAAAATATTCAAACGCACACAGGGAAAAGAAGGAAAAGGAAAAAAAGTTTTCGGTTGCATAGGCGGCGGGCGGCGGGCGGTTGACGTCGCAGTTGGCTGCTCTGCTGGCGCTATTCAAATGCTGCGACGCCGGCAGCGCTGCCACCTGCCAGCAGCAGCAGCAGCAATAACAACAACAACAAAAGCAATGCCAACATTGACCCAAACTCAAAGTCCTCAAAAAAAAAAAAGGAAAAAATGGAAGGGGGTGGGTAGGATAGGGGAGGGGGCCTCTAAAAAACGCGGAAAAAAATTGTGTAAAAAATAAAGGGGAATTTTTTGCGCCGGCGACAAACCCACGCACACCATAGCCCGTATATATGTATGTACACATACAGTACACTCACTAACACAGACGCATTGGACATTTTTTCGCTGTTAGCCTTTGCCGCCCCAAATATCCTGTCTGCCCCAGCCCAGTGTCCTTTTTTTTTTTTGCATTTTGTTTTGTTCGACTTTGATGCGAACGTACTTGTTTTTTGTTTTTGCTATTTTCTTTTTTTTTTTAATTTTTATTGCGCAAGCGAGAGGTCCAGCTAAGTGTGAGAGTGAAAGAGATAGCGGTGACTTTGCCATTTGTGTTTGCATTTTGTTTTTGCTATTTATTTGTTGTCACTGTTCAGCAGTTAACAACAATTATTTCAACTGCAAATTATAGAATTAATCAAAGCGGGGCAGCAGTTTAGTAATTAACCAATATTTTAGCGAAAAGATGCAACAACAACAACAACAACGACGAAGGCAGAGATTAATGGCTAGCGCCGCGATGTAGGCAACTGTTTTTGGTGGTCGCCTCATTTCTGTGGTTGCGCTTTCTAGCACTCAATCAGTCTGACATGGGCTACCAAGCTAAAAAAAAAGAAAAATTCCCAAAAAAATAAAGGAAATGCGAGAAAGGGGAAGCACACCTCGGGGCAGCAAGGATAAAGAGGAGGGAGATAGGCAGCAGCCTCCGCCCTGACCTAAGCCACCGCGTTGGCTTAACTGCCAGCAGCAACCACCTCACATTCAACCACCCCCACTCCGGGGAAGTCCCCCCTTCAATACCAGCCCCACCTTTCGCACCCATTCCTGCACTCCACCACACACCGCCTCCCCTCCTGGCCTGCTCTGCTGCCATCGTCGACGCTCGTCTGCTGCTGCTGCTGCTGCTGATATTTCTAAGTTCTTTTTTTCGCATTGCAACCTTGCCTCAACTCTCTTTTTCGCTCGGCATTTTTTTCCCAGCATTTTTTCCATTTCCATTCGCTGTGCATTTTTTCTCTCGGCCGCCCCTCTTTCGCATTTCTTTTTTTTTTTTTTAGTCGTCCGGATTTTTTTCCTGCCACAGGAAATAAATTTTTTCCTTTCCATATCGCGCCATCTCGCTTGCACCTTGTGCATTTTGACCCCCGTTTTGCAAAACACAATCGACGTTTTTTTTATTTGGTTTATTTTTTTATTTGCAAGCATTTCCCCACCGACCCTCAACTGATATTGCTTTTGCTGTTGCATTTGCCTTTGTATTTTCGCTTTTAGATTTTGTTTTTTAGGTTCTTTTTTTTAAGGGAGAAAGAGAGGGGCTGAGAAAGAAAGAGGAGAAATGTTAAAAAATAGCAGAGTTGCCATTGAAAAATACAATTTATTATAAATTGTTGTTTTTTAGAGTGAAACTAGAATTGGGTTAGACGAATGACGGTTGAGATGTTGTTTTATTGAAATTTAAAGGGGATTTTTAGATAATTGAGCAATTAAAGCACTCATAAATAAAAAATATAAATTGTAGATTTACTTTTAATAATAAAAATGAATTTATTCCAACAAAAAGAAATATATATATACTTATATATATATATATATTTAAGAGCCGTCTTTTGATACTATTTTTTTAGTGGGATTTTAGTTTAATGAAATTTTTTACAAAAAGAAACACTTTTCGAAAATCTGTACATTTTTGTGATATATTTTTTTTTAGCAAAACATTAAAAAATATATTTAACTAATCGCTTCTGAAAATCATTCTAGATAAAGTCCCTTAAATAACAATCTGTGACTTCTTCATTTAGCCCCAAATATTCTCAATAAATTCCGCTACACTGCCCAACAAAGTGTTCGCCTGCAATAGCATTTTTTGTTCAAGTTTTGTGTGTGAAAAATTAAGTATCACCACGTGGCAACACTGTCAACGTGCTTTGATGCCATTTTTTCGCACTCGTTTTTGTCCAATTCTCGTCGTTCGGCTTTGCTTTTCCTCCTTTTTTTTTTGCGTTTTGTTGCATGTTTTGTTGGATGTCCAAACATTTTTTATGCTGTTTTGTTGTGTGTTTCTGTTTTTTTGAATACGCAACGCACCGGACAGTCACACACACACACAGATCGGAAAACATATACACATACATACGGGCGCAACATAAAAAGTGCAAAAAAGCATTTTTGGAATTGGTGTTGAGGGTGTGGGTTTGCATGGGCTTATTGCGATGCGTGACTCGTATTTGTGGACTTTGAATACAAACAAAACAGGCATCCTCACACACACACTTGCAGTGGCAGATAGAAACCCATACAAGTGCAATTATGAATACTACATACACACACACACACACAGCGAGAGAGAGACACACTCTCACTCAGAGCTCTATATATGTTCATTTCAATACGCATTAATAACTACGAATTCAATGTGGCAACCATCCTTTCAGGACCTCAGCCCACTCAGCCCACTCACACTATCTCAAAAGCCCAAACACACATACACACACATACAACAACGCCGCGGCGTCACTGCAGCTGACGCCTAAAAAACGACTACGAAAAAGTACAAAAATCAAATTTCCCGTTCTGTTCGTTAATTTTTCTGCCACTGCCGCTGCTTTTCATCTGAAATTGAAAAGCGCCCCGATTATTTTCCGCTTTTCGAGACTCTTAATTTTCAAAAATTAAATACTTTAAATATTTTAAAGCAGAATAATGGCCCATTATCCCAGCACGAAGATCACTCACTGGCAGTCAATAAACTCCCACAAACAGAAATTTATACCCCAAAAACTCACTCCGCTAAGCTTCTAATTCTTTTATTTTCTCGCTACAAGGTTTTTTGTGTTTTTCCAACACCATATAGATTCAACATTTTCGCTTTTTGACGTGCTGCGTTCTCGCTTCACATCAACCGGCTGCGTTTTTTCGTGGCACATTTTTGCTGGTTGCATTCTAGTATGTCTGGTGGCCGCAAAACGATTTTTCCATGAATTTTTCATCCATTTAGCGTCGCCATTGAGCCATTTTCGGTGCGCTTAGAATTCATTGATACTTTAGCAAATTGTTTTTTCAGCTTCATTTTGTAGGATCTCTTTGGTTTTTGGGATTTTTCGTTCGTATCGTGACATTGAATCTCTGCCTGACATACAACTCTTCAGAGTAGCGGCTTAAGAGAAGTTTGATTGTTTATTGTTTACTTTATTTTTGTTTTATTTAAGGTATGCAGGTTCCATTGGACACTATTGTTTTGGGTTTTGTTTCACAAAATCCAAATAACTTGTAGGATCAAGTAAGTTAATTTACACATTAATCTAAAGTATAAAGACATACAATATTTTACCTTAAAATTTCAATTGAAACTATTTAAGTAATCTAATTTTTGATACATAAAGAAAGAAAATCTTAAAGCCTTTGCTTTTTACATAAAGTAAAGATATATGTAGTGTAATGAATTAATAAAAAAACTTAAAAACTTAACAATTTCAACTCCATCTGATTAACTAGAAATTTCTAATCTCAGTGAGTCTTTTGGTTTGTGTAATAACAAAATGTGACAAGTTACAGTGGGCCCTGGTTAAGTTGTGCTGCTCGGAGCAACTTGGATTCAGCAGTTTCACCTGATTCCAAACAAATCGGCAGTCTAAATAAACATTAGCGATAAATATTCCAAGAAACAAGGCGACAATTTCTAAGCCTCTGACTCAATACGAGGCAGTGGCGCTTCGGAAATCGCTCCAAGTGACAAGGGAAAGAAAACAGCTGAATCAATCGGCGATAATCGGCTTCTGGATTCGAGGAGGTTCGAGAAGCGACGCCGTCCCAGTCCGCGTTTAGTCGCCTCCGGATTGCTCAACCATGCAGAACAAGATGCGGCTACTGCGGGAGTATAGCTCCTACGATGATCTCAGCGCACACTTCCGGATGTACGGGTCACAGTCCCTGGATTCGCTGCAGGATCATGTGGACATGAACCCCAGCGGCAGCGATGGCCTGTCCACCGAGGGACTCGACTACTACCCCACCTGCGCCCAGTCGCACTCTGGCCTGTTAAGGGAGCACAATTTCAAGCTAAAGTCCTACTACTACAACGTGGGTCATTGCGTGCACTGTCGGAAGCGGTGAGTCCTCATGCACTTAGGTCATTATCCTTGCAGAGGGTTCAAGTCCCATCTCCTTGCAGGATCCGCTTTGCCATGGCCAGTCTGCGTTGCCGGTCGTGTCCACTCCGCTGCCACATAGCCTGCTCCCGTCAGCTAACGGTGAACTGCATCCCGCAGCCACAGATAACCACAAAGCGGGGCAATCTCAGCGATTACGCGCCTCGGGTGGCGCCCATGGTGCCAGCCCTCATAGTCCACTGCGTGACAGAGGTGGAGGCCCGAGGCCTGCAACAGGAGGGACTCTACCGCGTTTCCTCGACGCGGGAGAAGTGCAAGCGCCTGCGGCAGAAGCTGATCCGGGGCAAGTCCACACCGCATCTGGGCAACAAGGACATACACACGTTGTGCTGCTGCGTGAAGGAGTTCCTGCGGCAGCTGATCCACCCCCTGATACCTATCTACCATCGCAGGGATTTCGAGGAGGCGACGCACCTGGAGGATCCGCTGGCGGTGGAGGAGGCGGTCTATCTGGCCGTCCAGGACCTGCAGCAGGCCCACAGGGACACGCTGGCCTACCTGATGCTTCACTGGCAGCGAGTGGCCGACAGCCCGCCCGTCCGAATGACGGTCAACAATCTGGCCGTGATCTTTGCCCCCACTCTCTTTGGAGATCTAGATTTGAACCTGGTAAATGTGGTTGTATGGCAGCAGGTGCTGAAGGTGTTGCTTCTCCTGCCATCTGATTTCTGGGCTCAATTTCTGGAGGTGCACCCTGTACCCTCACCCATGGGCAGCACCTGTGACTACGAGGAGCACTACAGACAACGGCCCTGGGAGCACTCATCCAACCTGCGCTGGAGCTCCTTCAAGACCTACTTTAGATCTATGGTAATATGATGGTTAAATATTACTCTTTCTGGCTTTCTGTTTTTAATTTTAACTAAAGTAAATTAAAGTTTTTTATTTATATATTGTGTCATATGTGATTCAGAAGAAGGAATGCACAGAATTCTGATGAATAATTTGAATGTCTTTGTCACTTTATTTCCTTGAGTGCAAAAGCCAGAAAGATCTTTCAAGTAGGGGCTTACTAATGCCTTTTATTTTAGGTAAACCTCAGCAGCACCCACTTGTAGAGAAAGGCAATTGACTGAAGAGTTGGATACTGATCATGTATGTAGAGCACTTGCAGTCCAAGGAATGATTTACAAATTCGGCCCTGCTTTAAACGTTTTTTTTATATGATTTTCACTTAAGTTATATACAGTATTAGGTTACCATAAATGTTAATAAATTAAGTTCATCAAGAATTTTGACAATTGTTGACAATTTGATCGATGAAAACCCTTATGAAATCTGAAAAATAAAATTGCAAAAATTGTTTTCTTTAGGGCACGTCTAGAAAGAATCGCCTTTTGGTGCTGATTATATATATTCTTGATTTATAGGGATTGGAAATGACTCCTTTACTGCTTAGCATGTTCCTGACTAAAATGATAATACCCTGCAAGGGTAAAAAAACTATTCTCCCACATTTATTAATAGAAATTAAGTCTCATTTTTTTAGAGAATACTTTTCAATATATATTAATACGGTTTATTCTTCTCAAATTTCATAAAATATACAATAAGTTCAACTATTATATTTAAACTCAAAAATTAGAAAAATACTAAATAATATTTTAAAAAATTCGTTGTAAAAATACAAGTAAAAAAACATTTACCAAAGTCCAATTAATCATTTTTAATAGCTTTTCTGCCCAAAGGCCTGAGCCGTAAGCCATTCTTAATTTTTCGCTTGACGAAGATTTACTTTATCACCCATCAAATATCATTTTTTTTGGCAATTTTAATATTACATATTGGACTACTAAAATATATAGAAAAAAGAGCGACTTGAAACCGTTTTCGCACTGCATAAATAATATATCATGGCCCGAAGCGACGTAATGACTATATATTTTGAATATTGAAACATTAATACATATTTTTAATTGAATTTCCAGTTTTTTTCCGGAAAACATTGATTAATTCCCAGCCGTAGAAAGGTGTGTAAAAAATTAATAATTTCCATTTGCCATATTTATGTTTCTTTGAAGCGTAAACCAAAGCACAAAGTAAAATATTTTGCCACGTATGCGAACATAAATAAGTTAAAGCGCCAAGAAAAAAGTTTTAGCGTTTTAAAAACAATTTGGTGAGTGGCAGCTCAACAAAAAAATTGCGGGGCCATTAAATGCAAAAAACTGGCCAGGAGGAGAGCAGGGCCAGAGCAGGGCAAAACAAAACACTCGAATGCACTGGACGAGTGCATAAATAGACCCATACTTCCCCCACTCCCTCTCTCTATACCAATATATGGTCGGGAATAATGTATAATACTATGCAATCGAAAATAAACACAAAGCGAGATAGCAGCAGAGTGTGCGAGGAGAGCGGTCAGCGGACGGCAATGCGCTCCTGTTGCTAACCGCTAAAAAATGGCAAGTGGGCTGCAATTGTTGCAGCTCCCACCGCTTCGGCAGCTGCAGGGCGACACGTTAACGCCGGCGTTAACCAAATGCTAATGCCACATCCATGGACACTGCACACTCCTCAGCCCAACGATCCACACTCACGGGTCCGATGCGCACCAATACCGTGGCGGAAAAGTACAGCGAAATGCGAGAGGGGACAAAAAATGGAAAAATAAATAGGAAAAACAAAAATAAAAATAGTTTACATAATTCACGTATTATATCGGATCAAATTTTAATGCCGGCACGATGCTTGTGTGCGTGTGTGTTCGTGTGTGCGAAAAGCATTGCCTACTTGGGGGCGCGCGTTAAAATTGTTTAACAAATGGCATGACGGCAATGTATGTGAGTGTGCGTGGCGCTGTGCAGTTTTTGCTTTTTTTACGACTTTTTAGCCTATTTTTATTGTTAATTAAATGAGGGGAATAACACACACACACACACACATACACACATGCTGTCTGCCTGTGTGTGTCCGTCCCTGTTTGATGTGCGCAACAAATTTTTGCAATTTTTCTATTTTCTCGGCTGTTTTTTGCCGCCCGCTCGGGCATTTTCCGCTCGTTGTTCGCGTGTAATTCACTAATTGATAGTGTGGGCCAGTGCCACGCCCCCCGCTGACCACTCGCGTAATTGTGTTAGTGTGTGTGCGAGCACAAAGTTGAGAGAACAGGAGAAGAATGCATAAAAAAGGGAAATGCAAATGTCAAATAAAACTAAAAAATTGCATTTAAAAATAATAAAAGCGTATTATGCGTATAAAGTCAAAAAAAAAAACGAAGAGACAACTCACCAATACAAACTCAGCGTGGTGCTAATAATAACATAGGGGGAGGAATCGCTGCACATTTTTATGCTTATTTCAGTAATTTTTTTAACCCTTTTTTGCCCCTTTGCTAGGCGTGTTCTATAATTTTATGTAAGCTTTGTGTTGTTCGCCCAAAAAACAAAGTGGGCGCGGCATGTGGTCCATAAACACAGGGGCTTCACTGTATTTTTTACAGTGTTTTTTTATGTGGAATAAGAGAAATATTTGATTAAAAAAATATATGGTCGTGATTAATTTTATTCCTAAAGGATTTCAATTACAAAAAGGACTTATTCTGGGCAAGCAAATATTTATTTTGAGATTGGAATTTTATGTGTGAAGTGCTTTCGAGTACTAGTATGCATGGAATGCATCAAAATCATGGCTAATATAACATTATACCTCGGGCATTTTCAAATATGACTGCGAGGCTTAATGGATAAATATGTGTATTGACATTTGAATGAAGTTAATCGAGGGTTTTTCTGTTTGGAAAACTTGTAAATATTATATTCATGCTTTAAATAGATTCGTAATTCAAGGTTTGAGGAGCTAAAGTCCTTCATAAATTTTTAATAAATTTCAACCAATTCTGTATTCAATCACATTTCTCATTTATTTATTTAAAAAAATAATTTGAATATAATGTGTATTTTTCATCTCCCTGCGGAGCAAGGAAAAAACTCTATGAAGCCCCTGACATGCGCCCCGAAAATGGTGAACATAATTTTTGGTCAGTTGCAAAAAAAAAAAAAAGACTGGTTGCAAATGGCACCCCCAGCCCCCAAAAAGCATGTGAAAGAAAGTGGCAGAGCAGAGCACACTAACATGATAGGCTGGCCGAATCATCCAAACACACACACACTCACATGGAATATGTGTGGCCAGTTCCAACTCAAAAGGTATAAAAAAGGGACAGGGGAAAGCAGGACTTTACTTCTTTTTTTTTTTTTTTTTTGCCTGCCGACGTACATATGAAAGTGCCAAGTGTAGTAATTCCAATTGAAACTGGACTGGGCAACACCAACACCAAAAGCAGACTGGAAAAGTCCAGCTGCATGAGCAGGATCGCCGAAAAAAAGAAGGAAATGGAAAGTGTGGGTAATTAAAAAAGTAGCAGCAGCCGCTTTTGAGCGTAGAAACGCACTAATTTCCAGTAGTGCACTGCAGCCACCCCTTCTCTCGCAGGCACACGCACACGGACATGCAAGCCAGGACTAAAAAGGAAACACAAAATCGACACACTCACACTAGGTTGCAACATGCTCACCCACACAAGCACACTCTCCGCAAAAAATGGAGCATACTTTTAGGCATGCTGCTATTTCACTTTGTCCCGCACAAATGAACACCTCCGCCCATGTCCGGCCCCCTTGGAGCCCTGTTGTGGGAGAGAGGAGTGCATGTGTGTGCACCGCTCATCAGCGCTGCAAATGTTGTTAGCCCCGCTCCGCAATTTGTGGGCAATGTGGGTGTGGCATATGGCATAAGCCGGACACATCATTCGTCCAGAATGGCTCGTTGTCAATCCTGCTTGACTACAAAATGTTGCATAACCCGCCAGCCCTTAATAATGTTAAATTTAAATTAGACACCAACTGAGATTCGAAATCTTTTCTTAAAGTGTCTAAAATTATGCAATGTTTTGTTTGATGTTTTATTTCATAAATGTTCGGCTTATGATTCAATTCAAAACAGCAGGACTTTAACTGTGATTCAAAATCTTTTTTAGTATAGTACATATTTTCATAATTAACTAATTTAATATTATTTCATTTGCTTTATTTGTTTACTTAAGATTACATTCCTTCCATTCAAAAGACCTTAAGATTGCTCATCACACCATTAGCCCACCAAGATTGGCTCTCACGCGTATCGCTGACCTACAAGGATTACTCGGTCAGGCGATCTCTCACCTGACAGCTGGCACCTGCCTTTCGGCCACAAATAACCGTTAAAAAACAATAAGCTCAATTAGCAGCAATCAACACAGGCCGTGGCTGGTGCATAATTGACATTTTACGAGCAACTGCAGCTGTTGGTTCTCGGCTTTTTTTTTTTTTTTTTTGGCCTGGCTTTCTGCCACGGCTTGAGTGTCATGCCAAGTGCGTGGGGAGTCGCAAACGAATGTGAGAAAACGGGGCAACGTGATACCAGAAGGGGTTAAAAGACACTGAGAAAATTATTTTCTAAGACCAAGCTAAGAAAAAGCAAAAACAATAGAGTAAAATGAGCGCTAATAGATCACAAAGTTTATAAAACATATGGATTATATATATTTTCTCTCAAAAAGATAAACTACATTAAGATTCTCCAAGTGTTTTTAAAAGTACCACTTTTTTTCTTCCAGTGCCAATGAAATCCGAAACTTTTGTTGAGCTTAATCAATTGGAAAATTGTAAACAAAAGCTGATGCCTTGCCGGGTCCTCGCAGGGCTGCGAATCCGATTGCGATTCGATCCCCAAGCCCCAATCCCAATCCCAATCTCTCGCTCAACTGGTCCCCGCAACGCCCGAGGCTCTGGCATAATTTAATGCCCGACACCCTTTGCCTTAAGTTTCAGCAGCCAGCGGCAGCCGGAGGTATGTATATATATATATATAACATTGAAACAATTGCGGATGCACTCACCTGGGGGCACATTTTGCACTGATACTTGCGTCCGCTGCCAGTGCCGCCGGCATGTGCGCCGGCCACCGAGGCGACACCGCCGGGTCCGCCCATTTTACTGGCATTGATAGGCTGTGGCACCACCAGCAGGGCGGCCGCGGAGGCGGCAGCTACCGCTTGGTTGTGATGATGAGCAGCGGCGGCGGCATGGTGAGAGGTGGGACCCAGGCTGGTGTTGCCACCGCCAGAGCCAGCACCGCCTGCTCCTCCGCCGCCGCCGCCAGGGCCATTGGATGCACCAAGACCCAGGCCACCTTAAACGGGAAAAACATTTACATTTAGTATATTGTATTTCTATTATATAGACTCGTTTTTAATTTATGTTTATTGGTATCACAATATAGAAACCCATTGACTGGCTTGAGTGACTTTTCCCGTAGCGCACATGAGTCATGACACCCATCAACTCACCTTGTCCCGTAACCGCATGATGCTCCAGACGATTGTCATCCAGAAAGTGACCTGCAATGGCAATTGAGTTGTTGCATTTAGTTGCCTGGTTGTTGTGGCGCCACGGCTTAGAGGCAGCATTAGTGCTGCCCCACGGTTGTCCATCAAGTCTGGTTGATGTTCTGGTTCAGTCGCAGTCACAGTCGCAGTTTCAGTTCAGTCAGTTTGCCCGTTGAAGTTGCCGCCGCTGACGTTCACTCACGTTGACCATGTCGCCACCTGACCAACTCCTGGCTACCAACTACCGCCGACTAGCACTTTTTTCTAATTAAACTGAGACATTAGTTGGTCCCGCTGATTGCAACTGGGAAATCGCTCGAGGAGTTATGTGAAAATATTTCGCATTTGCCGGGGCTCTAGAATTTTTTCTCTGGCCCATTTGCGTGCAAAAATTGTGTGAATCCGTTAATGAGTTTCTCTGAGGGTTGGGTTGGTCAGGATTTCGGGTAAGCGTCAAGTTATAAACAATAAGCCCACAATGAGCACCGGCGAAAGGCCTCTGTAATTTTCCTGAGCCAAACGAACCGCTTGACTGCTGGGGCGCCCCGCAGCTATGTCAAAAACATTTCTCTAATAAAGCATTTGCAGATAATTGCTGGGCCACGTCCCTCGCTACTTTGCTATTTCTGTGTTAATTACAAGAGAGCTCGGCTCAGATGGCCAATGGCGCCAGCCAGAAAGTTTAGCTAATGAACATTTTAAGAGACACGGAAAGAAATATTAACAAAAATTTTAGTAATTTAAAATAATTAAATCTCTAAATATAAATATATAATAAATCTCTAGATAAATACTAAAATACATTATAAGTTTAGTGATATTCTTTAAAAAAAAATATATATTCTTTTCCCTGTGTAGCTGCGGCATTTCAAATGGAGCAGCCGCAATATGAGCCGGCAATACACTACAGTAAAAGTTGCCTTATTGTTAATTTGTACAAGCCGGGAGTATTCGTATCCCATCCGAGTACATCTACATCGATGCTAACAATGTGGACGATCGCTATCGTTGCAGCAGCAGTAGGAGCAACAACAACCTTATTGGCCAATTGCCTAGCGTTGACATTATCGGCCGGCGATCATTGCCGCCAACGTCAACGCCAACAAGCTCTGGGGGTCCCAGGTCCAAGTCCAGATCCAGCTTCAGCTCCAGCAGCGGGGCTTCAACTGCAGCCAAACTCGAAACAGGAGCGTGTTGCTGTCAATGTTGCTGGTAGCAACAGCAACTGCAACATAAGCAGCAGCAACAGCAACAGCAGCAACAATGCTACTGCAACAAGGCCCAACTAAAATGTTGTTTGCATTTTAGGAATTTATGTAAACATCTTGTAAGCATCTGGCGAACGTTGTTGCTGCTGCTGCTGTTAAAGGTCAATTTTTCGGTGGCTTTGCTACACGTAGAGAAAATTCTATCATTACCTGACAAATTTCCTAGCATTTAATTATCGGAAATGCATAAGATGTTCAATAGGGTTTTTTATATCTTTTTTAAATGTGTATTAAATGTTGTTACTAAAGAATTTTATTAATAGTTTTAGATACTTTTTAAGTGAATTTAAAAACCTAAATCAATTTTGCTTTTCCTGCTTATATTTCGAATATAATCCTTAACAAAATAAATAATCAAAAATATTTAAAAATGTTTTTAAAACAACAAAAAGGGAAGCCCGAAAAAATATGAAAATATTTTCATTATATTCAAACGGAGCCTAAGAACGTGTTTTCTAGTTAAACAACAAAACTATTTTTTATCTGCACCTCTCTCCGTGGGATTATCAGGCCGAGGCACATTGTCTTGGCGGCTTTTGTTCGCCAGCCCGCACGCGTTTTCCAATTTAGCCTTTTGCATTCTTCGCGGAGCGGAGAGTGGTCTTAGATCGGTATCTGGGAGATCTGGGGTTCGCGCGCCGCGATCTGAATCTTTGAAATTCGTGATTATCGGCCGGGTTGTTTTTGTGAGCAATTAATTAACAAGCGCATTGTTGTCAGTCAGGTTCCTGGGTAGGTCAAGTGATCTGGTCCGAGTTGGTCCCTGGTTTGGGATAGGTCCGAAATATCCGAAATGACTCACCTTTCTGCAGATTGTTGTGGTGGTGATCGTTCATTTTGGCCTGAAAGGGAAAGGAGACACAACTGGCATTAAGTTAATTCGTCGTTCATACTCTGACTTCGACATGGTCAAAGGCAATTCAATTAATTCAATTTGCAATTCGCCGTCTCTAATCTGGCCAATCCCTGCTAATTGCCAGTTGTTTAGTGTAAATTCATAATTATTCCGCACGCATTTAATTAACCTCATCAACTTTACATTATTATCAAATATTTATTCGCAAGTGTGACCCCCAATCAAATGGCCGTAAAACAATTTGCAGCGCTGTCAAAATATTTAAACAAATTTCCTAATGACTCTCAGCCCGGAAAAATCGCATTACAAAGTGAACAGTGAAAAAAGCAAATGCAATTTACACGCTGCAAATCACAAATAACAAATGTTTTTGCCAGCTGTCAGGGCGAGTCAAAGCTAAACAAGCGATAAATGAATTGAAAAGCAAATCGAATGCGTGACAAAACCAACAACCTGCAGGCACACATCCGACTAGAAAATAATAAATAACAATTCTAACCGCCGGCCCAGCGAGAGTGATAGATGAAAAAGTGCTTACAAATATGTCGCAAAGCAAACAAACACAAAAACAAGAAATAAAAGGCGATGGAATAGTCTAAAAAATGCCAACGCTTTCGATTGCATGTAAATTCCGAATGTGGGTTAAAATCCTCCAGCCAGACATGACCTAGGACGACTATCGATGCCAGAAAAATGGAAATCGAATAAAATAAACTTCCAGCTAGCCGCTGGCTGTGTCAAAAAATAAATGACAGCCGGCTTTTTTCTAAACAATTTCCATATGCTTAGCACGGGTGGCGGGGTGGCAAGCCCTCCGCCGGGTGCAACAAGAAAATATAAATACAAATATTGCAGCGGCGAAACAAAAGCAAAATCTGGTCTGGCTTTGGCCAGACACAGTGGGCTATAAAAGTAAATAAATGGGTGGTTAGAAGGGTGGTTACGGGAGTAGTTGGATGGGTGCTGGAGTGGAGAAAGTGTGGAGCAAAACAAATCCAAAGCGTTGGCGGCACGCGAGCTTAGAATTTGTTTTATTTTTCCGCTTTTTTTTTTCTTTTGCTTTGTGTGTGCCATAAAGTTATGACCGGGATAGGGATCTACAGATAAATATATACCACATGGCAGGGCATTTAGCGGACCACTTACCTCGTACTCCTGTTTCAGGGACATCGGATGATGCTCGCTGGCATGCTGATGACTGCGCGGCGTCGGCGGCCAAAGATTGTAATCGCTTATGTCTTTGGCATGCTGCGGTCGTTGGTTTTGGTTTTCCGGTCGGATACGAGTACGGATTCGGTTAGGGTTTGGGGTTCGGGATGGTTTTTATATGTGTGTTTATCGCCAGCGTTTTGTTGGTCAATTAGCGGTGAAATAGCACATGAAATAGAGAATTTATAATAACTTAGAATGGGAAAGTTGTGGGATTTTTAAAAGGTATTTCTAATACTGGAAATTGTCTCTTTATTCGCATTTCTTCTTTACAATAAACAAAATTTCCCAAATTCAATTGTCATAAGTCAAAGAGAGTATTGAAAAGGTAATTTCCTTAGTCTTAAAAAACAGCATCGCCTGTAGTTACTCTTTAATTTATTGCATTAATTAGTTTAGCCTATACTTATGGCTTCTTACCATATCTTTTTGACATAAAGAAAATTCTTAAAAATTAATTTGCAGACTAATAAAGGTTATATAAATGTTAATAATTCAAGAGTTGTTAAATGCTTGTTTCGGTATCACATATCCCTTAATATATTTATTTTCTTTTTTTTTAAACAAAATGACTCAATAAGGCTTTCAAAAAAATAAATACCTAAAAGGCTACTAAAATAAATTATAAATTCCAATTGAAATTTAAAACTACACCAAAGAGTTTTTTTCATTTGTTATTGTATACATTACATAATACTAGCCATAGCAAAAGTTTATTGAAATAAGATATTCACTTAATTTGAGGGCATAACAAAAAATATTCGTAAAGAATTTAAAATAATATAATCACTTGTACACTTGAACTGTTTTTGTGTGAATTTGGTTTCTGCCTAAGTAAATTATTCTACAAAAACAGTTGTACTTATTAGGTTACATTTAAAAAGCCTTTTAATGGGAAATACCTAACAATCATCCGAATTCTTCGCTTATTCAGAAGATGTTTTTATGTCAAAATTATTAGAATACGACTTTTCATTTATTATAACATACACAAATATTTAACGAAATTTTAAGTTTATTTATTACTTTATTCTTTCTTTTGTCTGCAAACTTCTGATTAAAAAAGGTTTTAGTTTACAAGGGTATAAAAAGCTTAATGATCCATTACTATTTTTTAATCAATAAATCTACATATTTAACAAGCCACTTAATTTAAAAACTGATACAATTTAATTTGGTTAGGCTTTTACTGTGACTCCTGGAAAAAATACCTTTCTCTGGCAAAAATGTTTATAAATAAAAAAGCTCCTATTCCCCTTGATCTAGGGAAACAAGCTATAAAGGCGCTTGACAAAAAAATCCTGGAAAAAAGGGCCTGCCTGAACTCGAAACCGCCAAGGAAGGCCGAACAAAAAAGGGAGATGGCCCAAAGGCTCGAAATACTAATACAAATAAATGTGAGTGTCAATTGAAATAGGAAACCGCGCTGCACACAAGCGAGGTGTCAAAGCGACGGCCACTATGACTGCTCCTGCTCCTGTCCCTATTCCTGCGATGGAGATGGAGATGGCAATGGCGATGGCGACGAGAGCGACAAAAGTGCGGCGGCTTTTGGTGTTGGCCCAAAACGCAACGCAACGCAATGCCAGAAACGCAAGGCAAGGAAGGCAACAGGAAAAAAAAGAGGGAAAAGCAAGGCCGAAACAAAACAAAACTGGCCAAAACACAACTAAAAAAGCGTTGCATAGCGCAAGGGGAGTTGGCCACTGTGTGATAGGCCCACACATGCAGCTGTGTGGGTGTGAACCGGCAAGCGTTAGCCTTGTTGTTTTAGTTGCCTTTGTGGATGCGAGAGCAGGCTCCATCTCACTCTGCCGCATGGCCCTCTCTCTGTCGCTCATGACTAGTTAGTAGGTGGGCTAAAAAAAATGATGGCAGCCACGACAGACACACGCACACACGCAGCTGCTCCTGCTCCTGCTGCTGCTGCTGATAAAGATGACCAGCGCCATGGACATGGCTGTGGACACGGGCGCGGACGGAAGTCCTCTCTAACCAACATCCCAGCACCAAATACAAGTGCAGCAGCAGCAACAGCAAAAACGGCCACAGGAAGGCGTCGCTTGGCCCACTCCCATTTTGCCATTTCCGCCAAGTTTGGTTTGCAGCACGCAGCAAAAATGAACAGGACTAAAAAAAAAAATAAAGAAAGAAAATAGGAGGAAGCTGCAAGGAGCAGGAGGAAGAAATTTTGCGAAACGCAAAAAAATGGCACAGCGCAGCAGCAGCTTTCTCTGTCGTCCTCACTCTCTCCCTCTCTATCGCTCCGCAGCGCCAAAACAGCGAAAACGTAAAAAACTGCTAGAGGAAAAAAATCAAAACAAATTTTTTAACCCCTTCACAGGCAACTGGGCGGCGGCGTCGTCAACGTCGACTGCGGCGACGGGGAGTGGGGTGTCCTTTGGGGTGGGCGGATTGGGTGGCTTAGCCACTGCCGCCGCCGTCGCCGTCGCCGTCGCCTCTATGCAGCGTAAAAAGTGCAAAAATTAGGCGGAAAACGTTAAAACATTTTTTCTTTCTGTCCTTTGCAATTGCACGTCCTGGCCAGCCGAGAGAGGACTCCAAAAACCCCGAAACCCATTCCCATACTCCCGTACCCCAAAGCGCGTTTTGCACAATGTAGCAACCTTTGCCAGGGGGTTTGGGCTTGGGTTCGGTCCGGTCTGGACCTCTGCTGCTGCTCCCCTGCCCATCCCCGCAAGACATCCTGGCAGCCAGGCCCCCTCCTTCACCTTGGCTTAGCGATTTTTTTTTGCTTCTTCTGCATTTCATTTTTATTTAGCTCCTTTTAGCCTCACATCTTTTTAGTCATGTTGCCACTGTCTGCTTCTATTGATTTTTTTCGCATTTAGTCAAAAAGGGGGAAAAAAAATCAACTAAATTTTTATTTTTTCGTGTTCAAATGTTTGACCATCCGCACTTGTGTTTCATCTTCAGTAGAATTCCCTTTTTTAGTTGGGGTATTGTTAGTTTTTAACAAGACAGGATAAGTTTGCTTTGAGTTTAGGAGAACAGGTTTTGGAAAGGATATAAAATTGTGAGTTAAACTTAAGGCAAATTGATTGAAATATTTAAAAAAAATATACATTTTCCACAGTCAACAAGTTCCTTTTCTTTAATTTTTTTGTAACTACTGTTTAAGAACCCCTTTACAAATTGTTTCTTCAATTTTCTCTAATTTCTAAAAACCTAATAATTAACCCAGAAGAGTATCCATAACCTCTTATGTTTTAATCCTTGACAACCTTTCGCTTTTCCTTATTTTTTCCAACTGCAAAGTGCAGCCACGTTCTGCTGAGGTTAGAATAGGTTGTCTCTGGCTCCTGTTGATTTTGTTGCTGCACAAAAATGGTGTCCAACTTTGTTGCAATTACTTTAAAAAATTGAAGTTGCTTGCGGTTGCGGCGGTTCCTCCTCTTCCGCCCTTTGCCAGTATTTTTTCCGCTTTCCCAATTCGACGTGACTGGCCCCATTAGACTATAGCTACAGCCTCGGATACAGAATCGGACTGAAGTTTGCAATTGGAGTTGGCAGTGGAGTTGTTTCAATTTTCACTTTTTCGGTGGCCGAAGGTTTTTTGTTTTAATTGAAGCGTAAGAATTAATTGCAAAGTATTGTTTCGGTGGTTTTCCTTACACAATATATAATATATACATTTTAAGAGGATATATAATATATTTACTTTGAAGCCCCACTAACTAATCTACTTTTCTGCTCTGAGCTCTGGCGAAAATTAAGTGCGAAATTAATTAATGAGCTTCTTGGTCGTCTTTGCTCTGTCCTTGTCTGTTTCTCAGCCAACTAATTTCGCTAATGCAAGTGACAACAGAATAAAAAAAGAGATATATATATATATATAGCCCGACTGTTGACGCAGCCAGCGGGAGGCCATTGTTAAAGTTTAAAAATTAATTAACTACGAATATCCTTTAAGAATCATGCGGGTGTAGCAAAGTTTTAAATGGGTTTTCCAGGACTCGCTAACGAGTCCATTCAGTGACGAGCTTGGCAGCGGGTTGGCCAGCCAACCAAGGTGAACCTTTCTGCCTGGACACGTCGGACGTCGTCCTTGGAGACAATCACTCTCCATTCAAAACAATAATTTCGCTGCTCCTTAAAAAAATTGTTGGGCAACTCGCTGAAGCTCAATGAAAAGCATGAAAATAAAAGAAAAAAAAACAAAGAAAAGCACGGCAAAAAAAATCTGGGAGGGGCAGGGTGAAAAACACCAACAAAACAATGTTTAACGCGTCGCGCAAAGAAAAACTTGTTTACATCTTGAAAAACGCAGAAAAAAAGGGGGAGGAAGGAAAAAATGTAAGATTTTTTTACACGCCGTGGCACGCGAGCAGAGAGCAAAGCGTTTTGCTAAAAATTCGCAGAAGGAGACAAACCAACAAGAAAAAATATATAAAAAAAGAGCAGGGTAAAAAGGGAAAAGTTCGAGGGAAGGAGAAGGAGTAGCCGAAGCTCAAAAGGATTTTTTCAGCGTCGCGTCTGCTGGGGAAAACGGAAAGGGGAGACGTCGTGGGGGGGTTGGCTCTGTTGGCCCGAAGTTCTGCCCAGTGAAAGTGCAGGCCAACAGGGGGGAGGAGGTAGCAAGTTGTCCCTGGAATTGTAAAAGGGGTTGCTGGCCAAGTCACTGGAAATGGGTTCGATAGCACGGAACCACAGAGTTCACCTGGACCGGCACTCAAGGGTTAAGGTCGTTGTCTTTGGCAGCTGAACTTTGGTTAACATTTTCTGCACATTTTCTAGAACTTCCAAGAAACCTAGTATCAGAAACCCCTATTTCGCTATGACAACGTTACAAAGCCGACAAAAAACTAAAATATAAGAAAAAAAATCTAATGAAAATCTGGAATATATATATACAATTAGACAGCAATCCAATTAGGGCTCCCGCTTAATTTTTCAGAGGCAGCTATCACTCATTTAATTCACTTAGCTCGGCAAGTTTGCTTGCATATTAATTATGACGCTGCCCTATTGGTCGTTGGAACTGCCATTTGCAGAGTCAACTAGAAAAGTTTTCCCTTCTGCGCATTTTCCCCCCTTTCCCGCTGCTTGGCACTTGGCTTTATCTCAGGAAAGTTAGTCCTTCAAAGTGAAGAAAAAAAAACTGCAAGACCAACTTTGGCGACAAGTCGAAAGTTAAGCCACTGTTAGAAATATTTGATATGATTGAAAATTAGTTTGGAATTAAAAGGTAACTTAAGAAATGAACTGAATAATATTATTATGTTTAAATTGAACCTATTTTTACTGTAAACCTATAATTAAGAAAAACATTTCTTCAAGTGTAACAGCGTGAAAGCAGCCCTTCCTATACCTTATAGTATCTAATTCCTGGCGTACTCACATCAACGTTGCCGTTCCACATGTAGTGCATGCCCACGGCACTGGGATCGTGGTGCGTCTGGCCGGTCATGTGCTCGGCCATCACGGCGCTCATCCAGTGGACCAGACCCTGGGTGGGATTCTGGCCCTGGACGCCGCCGATCGGCATGTTGGCAGCGGCGGCGGCGGCAGCGGCAGCGGCCACAGCGGCGGCCGTTGAGTTGGAATTGGGGTTTTGATGGGAATGGGAGTGGCTATGGGTATGGTTCTGTGAGTGAGACTGATGAGAGTTGGAGCTCTGATTGGAGTTGGAGTTGTTGGGCTGTGGAGTCGAGTCGGTCTCCTGACTTTTGCACGTGGCGGCGACTCTGACCGCGTCCGGCTCTGACGGTGGTGACTTTATGGAGCTGCCAAAGTTTGGACGCGTCTGTGATGCGGGTTGGGTTTGATTCAAATTAATTGCGGACACTGGAGTCGTCTCGTGGGGCGGAGTGGGTGGTGTGTTTGGATGGTTGTTCACGACTTCGTTGTTGTTGCTGCTGCTTGACCAAGAATAGCCACTGTTGTTATTGTTGTTGTTGTTGTTATTATTATTATTGTTGTTGTTGTTGTGGGGCTTCTGCAATGAAAAATGGTTTGTGTGAAAATAAGGGGTTTTCGTCAAACATTTGTAAATTTCGTTGGTTAATGTATTGAGAAGCAAAAAAAAATAGAAGAAATGGTTTTTTAATGACATTCATACCGTGTAGCGAGTGGGTTTTTGGGGGTATTTTATATTCTTACAAATGTATGTAAATTGCCCGAATAAAGGGGGTTTTCAGCAATTGCATAATTTAAATATAAAAAAATATGTACATGAAATCGTTATTAAGCTGAGGCGTAATGATATAAGCCATTATTTAAGAAATCTTTTCTATGTACTTTTCGCCTTGTTTTAGTAATAAATATATAAGATCATATCTTTAAATATGTAGAGATAGTTTTTAAACCTTAAGCCTATGAAATCTTATAGAATCGTATCTACATTTTACGAAAAGCTACCATTCATTGAAAGCTTTCATCCTTTTTAATAAGATTATTTATCTATACAATATCTAATCCTACTTTCTTTGTAAATATTTTACACTTAAACGCTTCCATGGGAAATATTTTTAATTAATATGGTAGATCAAGTATTTATTTATTCTACAAATCAAAAAGGTTACTTTAATTACTATTTAAATGTCCTTCCCATCATTTTGAGATACCCATTTAAGGATGAGCAGTTGTAAGTTCCTGTGACAATTAAGCTACCAATTGTTGGACCTATAATGTCATCCAAGGGTTACACCATATACAGCGAACTTCAATTACACATGAAGCGAGAGTAGACACAGGAAGGCCCTGTTTTATTTGGGTTCGTGGGCATCCCAAAATAATCAAAAGTAAACCCCTTGAAATCCCATTTATGACCCTTCATTAAGGGGGGATATACATGTAAGCGGTCAAAATTTGGTCATTTTTCGTGAATTTTTTTTTATAAGAAATAGTCAAGCAATCGTCGTGAAACTTTGGATATAGTTAAAAGTAGAATCAGAGATGATAAAAAAAATTAGTTATAAATAATATTTTATAAAAAGGCGGACTTATGGAACATATGCCGTAGCGCCTCGAGCTTTGAGTTGCCGTGCTATGGACACGATAGAGCTCGTAATTCCTGTCCGAAATCCGTAAACTAAATTTTTTTGTATTCATTACACCTTTATCTTCTATTTGAACCTAAAAAACCAAAAAGAAATCGAGACAAAAAAAATTAATTTTGATTTGAAGAAAAAAATGCCATTTTCAGGTGATCAGTTTTCACTTCCCACCCTCTTAAAAAATAGTAATACTCAGTTTTATAACAACCATGTAGGTTCAAATAGAAGATAATTTCATGCTGATCATAATAATTTTTGATTCACTCCGATATGTTACATAGTTTTTTGTGAATCGTGTCCAGAGCATAGGTAGAAATTCAAAAATTAGAAGCTGAGAAAAAGACGTTTAAAGTTTTTGATTCGCCCACGTTAACACTTGTGAACCTTGCGTGCATACTTGATTTGAGGCACTTAGAGTTGGAATTCGATAATGAAACTTACACACTATATTCACACTATATTCACACTATTTTTTAAACCAAAAAAAAAATTTGCCCAAAAAATTTTGGTTTACATGTATATCCCCCCTTAACTTCTTCTCACATGCCCATACTAACATTCTCTCCGGGGTTCAGTTGGATGACGGGCTTTCGGTCCTCCTGTCCGGCATCTTCCTGCTCCAGCTCCTGCTCCGTATCCGGCTCCATCTTCACCTGACCATCCTCAGCGCGGCGGACCGCCGTGGAAAATAACAAATTGCCAGGCGGCTGGGATCGGGATGGTGATGACAATGAATCGGGGGCAGGGCTGGGGGACGGCGTTCCGGTGTAGAATTTGTTGTGCTTTTGTTGCTGGAGAACGGCGCTGGCGAAGAGGCTTTTGTAGAATTCGGCGGGCATCAGGAAGGGTGAAGGGGCAGGGACAGTGGCGCCAGGGGTGGGCGTTCCAAGGGCGGCCATGTAGCTGCCACGCTTCAGCTGATCCTTTAGCGTATCCATGTCCGGATGGCCGTATTTGCCAATGAGTTCGTGCATGACAACAAACTCGGCTGCCCTCGAATGTAGGCAACGCTTTTTGTTGTTCCCGCTCGACGATTTCACTTTCGCATGGAATTTTTGTTGAAGGGAAAAGCCCTGCGCTTACAGCAATTTATCTAACTGAAGCCCAGTGTGTTTGATTTTCTCCTATACACACACACCATACACCGCACACACATTCACGTTGAAAACACCGAGGGAAACAAAAAGTTTCCAACCAAATCTGATGTCTTTTTATTTTGGCTTAACTTTTATTTCATTTTAGATGGTTTGGGGGCGGCGTGTGCACTTCAAAACTTTTTCCGCTTCTACCCCTTTTTTTTCATTTTAGATGCACACCAAATTGAAACAAATAGAAATGATTTGCCACCAGAAACTTGCCACCAACGACCTTGAAAAACTTTTGCCGGCTGGCAGTTTTCTTTTTTTTTTCGATCTTTTTTTATGAGTTTTATGGTCTTCCCCATGATGGACATGTGTAGGGATTCGCTTTTACTTGCATATGTTGTCCTTTATTTTTTTCGTTGTCGGTTTGATGTTTTGTTTATTGTTTAGTAAACATTTCTACGTCCCTGTCCCTGTGTCTGCGTTTTGATTTATTTGCTCAGATGGCCGGTTTGTGTTTACTTTTCATTTTTGATTGTTTCATTTTGTGGCCGGCGCTTAGGTTTTATATATGTATATATGAATATATCCAAATGGTGGGCGTGGATGGTGTTAAGTTATCCGTCAAATGCAGTATTTTTTTCTTTTTGGCTTTGCGTTGTTAACTGTTTACATATCTGATGTTTATTCTTGAATAACTTATTCGATTTGATTTATATTTTAAATATTTGTTGTTAATTATTTAAGCGACTTATTTACAGGTAGGTAGATGTGACTTATGTGTTAGTAGTTTGCACTGGGTGATAGGAACTTTCCGTTGCAGTTTAGGTTGATTTATTTAGGAGACTACATTGCTTTATATTTTATTTTCACATTCATCAAGGAACTTTAGTAGAGCTTCTTTTGTTTTGCTTTAAGTTTACATGGTGAAAAGTGAATATTTTGCACTATTTATAGAAAATATCCTTTATTCAGCTTAAAGTTTACATTATTCAATTTATATTTCTCTTTCTTATTATGTTACAAATCCATTTGTGTTTGCACTGCGCATGAAAATAATCAAGTGAGACTTTTGCTATTGTGCCACATCACGTATACGCCACGATGAACGTCCGGGATATCACGTATACGCCACTTAAAGTCGCTGCTAAACATTTTCAGCACCTTCATTCAAGACTGATAAGATAGAGCTCGGGGTGTTTGTTAGTTGGTCTCTTGGGCGTGTTTTTGTGTGGGCTTCCGCGTGTCCGTGTGTGCGTCTGTCCGTCTACGTTTTCGTGTCCGTTTCCGTTTCCGTCTGCGTCTCCGTCTCCGTCTCCGTCAGCAAGCGTGGGATAACCTGCAACAACTGAGAAGTTCCGACTGGAACTCAAAGTGCAGCTGCTGAAGGCAAAAGAAAATGGCGAGGGCGCGCGAAGGCTCCATATATACATTTATATAGGTATGGGTAAGGGCACACACACAGGAACACATTGTGTGTGCCACTCTTGTGTGTTGTGAATGTTTTGTTGCTCTTCGTAACCTTCCTTCAAGCTCCGCTGCTCTTGGTCCCGCTGCTCTTGCATTTCTTGTTATTTCCGCTCCTTTTTTATTTTATAATTCCTCCCCTCGCCCCGAACCCTTTGTGTACAGTATGCACACTGCCCGTTATAAAGACATACATTTGCAGTTTCAGCGCGCACTGCAGCATTTTCTCGCAAGAAAAGCGAAGAAAGGGCAAAAATAGAAAATAAAGCTGAATTTGCGCGACCAAGCAACCGGGCAAGGCTGTGTGTGTGTTCCAGATTGATTTCCTTTTTTTTTTTATACAGTTTGCTCTTGTTTGTGATTTTTATTATTTTGATTTTTTCCCTCGGAATATATGTTTGTGTGAGGCGCTGCACATTTCTTAAGAGGTCTTATGTGCCTGCTTTTTGTATTTTTCTTTTTGCCTTATAAAAAGAGCTGTACTAGCCGTAGGCGTAGACAAGAATAACAGCATTCGGCAATTCCTTTCAAATTTGAAGGGACTTGAGACGGAGCCAAAGCCACATCAGACTGCTGTAGCTATTGTAGAAGGATCTAGATGTATCCTGAAGCGGACAAAATGTGAGCTTTATTTGGTAGTTGAAGTACAATTAGAAGTTTATTAACTGAAATGGAGGGTAACAAGAAAAAGCTAGCATTTAAAGAGATTTTTCTCTTTTTTAATATTACCTTGGACCCGAAAGCAAAAGGAATATGAATTTGAATCTATATGTATGTTAAAATTCATTAATCCACTCTTCCTTAATTCGTAGTCAATACTTTTGTACTTTATACTTTATTTAATAAGGTATACGGAGTGCTATTTACCCCTTTGTGACCTTTATATCTATTCATTCTGCCCTAAATCGGGCGCGCCGGCTAACCTTATCGGTTAGCATTTTCACAATATTTTAATACTATTTATTTATAGTTTTAAAGAGCCTTCTCGAAGATTTCCTGTAACACAGTGACCTATCCTCTTTCAGATATTCGTAGTCTTATAGCAAAATGCAAGCATATATAGGACACATCTAAGAAAGTGGCACTCAAGAATGCAAAAAGCTAAGGACGAAAGTTCTAACTATATGCTTTCCTTGAAAGTCTTAAGCAGATAAGCACAAATGAGAAAACTGATAGCCCTGCTGTGGCGTATGCATTATATTCTAGCTTCATGAGCCAAGTAGATCTGTGTCTAAGTTCTGTCCTTCCCTTTCCTCCCCTTGAGACTATTAGTCCTAATTGTAATTTCTCAGCCCTGCCTATAGTGAGTGTGGCGCCATCTGGCCTGCAGTGGCCGCTTAAGGAACAAGACACCGAGAAGGACACGGGCAAGGATACGGATGCGGACGCGAACGCGGCACCGCGACCAATAGATTTGGCCAAGCCCGAGCGAACTGAAGACAACGAAGGCTGCAGTCCCGCCAAAGGCAACAAACTCTTGCCACATGCAACAGTCGCAGCTGCTGCGACGTCGCAGAGACGCCGGCGGAGGCAGCGACCGAGGCAGCTGCTGGCTGGGAAAAAGAAAAACAGACAGAGCGGAAGCGAGCTCCGGCGACTTATGGCCATGTTTGTTGTACGGGTAAGTAGCAGCAGGACCAGCAGAAGCAGGAGTCGGAGCAGCGAAATGGCGCGCGCGAAAAGGAAACTCAAGAAGTAGAGCTCGGAAAAGCAGCAGCAGTAACAAACACACGCACACACACACACTAACACTCAAACGCGGACATAAAAAAGCCAAGTAAAATGGTATTTTTTCTTGCACATGAAGCAAAAAACGCCAGCAAACTGAAAGAAATACATTGCAGGCGTCGAGCAAAAAACGAAATAATAACAAAAAGTTGTAAAAGAAAAGCGAAACCGTGTGATGTCCTGGCACACTCGCATACACACAGACACACACACACTCGTACAGATGCCAGCAGAGGAAAGCGCGGCGACGACACATCGAAGAAAGGACGAAAACACTCAGCGCAGTTCGCGTCGCAGCCAGCGTCGCAGCCTCGGCCGGCGTCGCTGCCTTGGCCATATCCGTAGATATAGCCACAGCTATAGCGTCCTGCTGAGCGTCCTCCTGGCCCCGTTAACATTTCACGAGCGCCAATTTCTTTTCCTTCATTTTGTTTATATTATTTCCCTTTTTCCCCCCATTTTTTTTCCTCAGCTGAAGCCCGTTGTTGTGCTTGCCGCTGCGCTCGCCGTGCAATTTCTCGGAATGTTTTTCTATTATCCGCTGCAATTTTTCTCCCTTTAAATGGAACTGCGTCTGTAAGGGAGTATCCTTCAAGTATTACGTATTCCGAAGGCGAAACAAGATCGAGGCAACAACGAGGGAGTATCAGGGATTGGAGCTTTTGATTAGGTTTACTTGTAATATTGACAGTCTGGTTAAGACAGGTCTAGGTTTTAAGGGTACTTTTTATTTTAAAACTCCTACAATTTAAATTGTATCACAATATCATTAAGGATTAAATGGACCAAAGATTACATTAATAACATAATAATGACAATTTATGAATTTATGAAACACCAATCCTTTTATTACAAAGGTCTGTCAAATGTTAATATAAGATCCTAAATATTTGTGGGGCACCTTAATTTAAAAAGAAAAAAACAGAAACCTGTAATTGTTTACTAGGATCTTTGTTTTTTATTTTTCGAAATAACTTCTTTAAATTGTCACAGTAGCAAAGTATTATTAATAACCCACAATCATTGTTTTTCTTTCCTCCATGAATGTATTTTCGCTTGACCTTACTCCATTCTCATCCCTCTTCCCCACTCTATCTTTTCTGGAAAATTTCAAAACCATATTAAGATTACTTTCTGGCAATGCTCTCCTAAGCCGATTTGCTTTAAAAAAAGAAAGGACAAGAATGAACTGAGCGTTGTGGCGAATGCGAAGTGCAGCAGTTGCATTGCAGCGCAGCAGCAGCAGCAGTGCAGCTGGCGTCGCAGTCAGCGTTGCGCGGATAGCGGGCAGAAGGACCCTCTTTCCCAAAACTAAATCCTGTCCAGGAGCATATGTTTTTATGTGCAAGTGGTGGCTGGGCTGCCTGAATGTTTTCCTTTTATGTTCAAGGATTTCCAGTTGCCCTTTGCTAGCGGCCCACACATACTTGGGGGTCCTTAAGCGTGTATTTACTTGGGTGAGACGCGTGGTAGGGTTTCCTTTATAAGCATAAGGAGCGTGCGTTCATTTTGCATTAAAAAAAGCAACAGAAGCACATGATATTGGCCTTAAGGATACCCTCAACGTGGGGAGAAAGGGTTATACATAAAAACTGTAGCCTAAAATAACTTTAATTAAAAAATCCTTGGGACTATGTCTGGTCTTATGCTTAAAGTTAAGGATCTTAATTTAAAAAAATACTTCTACATAGATAGCCGCTTCTTAACAACATTAAAATCGCAACTTTAGCCCTTTATGCACCTGTTGAATGTCCTTTCTTTTCCTTGAAGCCACTTGGGGAGTCATCAAGTCAATTGCCATTAGACAGCGAAAAGCTTTGAAAGCCAGGCAATTATGGCGTATCCTGTGCACAAACCAGACCAACAAAAAGTATCCTTTCGTCCCCACAAAAAAGCCCAGCAGTGGGAGCTTGAGCCTTTTTCCCCCGAAAAACACTCGAAACCACGCGCTCTCTTACTTTCACCCAAAAAGAGAGAACGGAAGAAAATGCTCTTTAACGCGCTCTTCGTATTGGGGGCGTGTTTGTTTTCGTGTTTTTTCCACTCGCTTGCCACTTGTGTGTGCCGCTTTTTGCTCCGTTTGGCTTTTAAGTGTTATTGGATGATTTTATGGAAATTGATTTGGAGCACGCCCACTTTCCCGGGGTTGCGTGAAGCGAGTGGAGGGCAGGGGAGAGCACAAGTGCAGCAGCTGCTCCAATGGGGGACGCTAACCAATAATTTGACATAATAACATTATCCATACACTGAAATAAAATCAGGCAAAGCTATTTAGAGCAATCAGCTTTAAAAAATTTAAGTTTAAAAATAGATACAATTATTTTTTGTATTTATTTACCCATCCTTAAATTATTCTTTAACGCGTTGTTAGCCATTAAAATCTAATATATGCATGAAATGTGCTGAAGAAAAATCGTAATTACGTCGAAACCCTTGCTTTTCTTGTCTTTTACCAAAAGAATTTTGTTTAATTTAATAATAGTTGAGACTCGATTGATAAGCAACCACTAATTCTCATATAAAAATTCTCAAATAAATAAATATTTAAATAAAAAAAAAGCAAATGGCATAAACTATATCCAGCCTAAATGTACAGATGTATTTTGCTGTTTTGTATAGAATGAATAGCTTACTTTTTAATATTAAATTCTGACTAACAAAAACAGCATTTCTTTCTTCCCGTTTCACTTCTGTTGTTATTTTTCTTTGTTTGTTTTACAAAGTTTTCTAAGTTAACCGTTTTTCCTACTTTAATTTCACAATATAATTTGTAAGTGCCATAAAGTTAACCATAGAAAGTCATCTTTATGCTTAGTTACAATTTAAATAGCACTTTAAATTAGTTACTTTTTCTCAAAATGACGGTGGCAAATAATTTTAAAGCCATCAAGGTTGCGTGTGTTAATTTTTTCACATTTCTTTATACTTTATTATATATATTTGCATAAAGTATTTAAATATTTGCAATAATAAATCAATTCTTTCACTTGAACAACATTTAATAAATTTATTTTTAATATTTTTTGGTAAGAAAATTGTTTTTCTGAATGAAAGTTTAAACAAATATTTGCTAAATAATGTTTTAGGTCACGCAAAGGGAAATTGAGCTAATTCAAAAGGCTCACGAAAAGATAACATGTATTGATATCAGAAAAAAATCTTGCTTCCTAAACACTTATTTTTGACGTTCTTAACATATAATCTATTTTTTTACCTTGTTGTCTTAAATTTCTTCAGTGGCTGCAAATAAACCTAACTTAAATTCCACCAACTAGTGATAGATAATTTTATGTTAAAAAGACTTTAGAGAAGCTAAATCTGTTGCCCTTTTGAATTTTGACATTATGTATATTTATGTTTTTATATATTTATAATTCCCTATATTTATTTTATTTACTATTTAAATGTAAGTAAATTATCACGGTGCACTCACCCTAAACGTATGCTCCACGGAGTCCAGGCTCAGTGCGTAGTCCTCGACGACGACTCCCAGCGAGGATGCGGATGGCTCACCAAAGACCTGCTCGATCTTGATGGGCGGACTGGGCAGCAGGGGTGTGGCACTAGCTCCTCCGACGGCAACGGATGCAGCGGCAGTAGCGGCAGCAGCTGCGGCGGCTGCAGCGGCGGCGGCAAAGGATCCCTCGACAATTATAGGTGATCCGTGGCCGGTTTGACAGACGGGTAGCGAGACTGGAGCTGGGTGCGGACCTGGACCGTTGCAGGGCGTTGGCGTAGCCGAACCCTGGACATGGCCATCGTGGTAGGGCGTCACAACGAAGGAGGGGTACGAGCGGAACTGATGGTAGTCGCTGTGATTGTGGCTGTGGGTGCTGCCGTGAGGATGATGCGCCAACTGAGGTCCCTTGTACCAGGTACCATGCATAATCATTTAAGCACCTTCGGTTTCTCCCAATCGAAATCCACTTCTGGGGCACTTCAAGAACGTTTTTCACTTGTCTTATGCTTTGTATTTAAATGGTTTTTGTTTTCTTTAATTGTTTAAATCACTTTCTCTAAGGAATACCTGATGAAAACGGTCAAATGGTTAAAAAGCATTCATAACACTTAAAAAATAAAACAACTTTGAGTTCAATAAACAGAATATAGAACGAAAAGTAAAAAAGTTTTACGTTGAGATCAATTATTTATGGAAATATTTGGAGGCTTGTGTATACTCAATGACAGGCGAGTAATGAATAATGAGCTTTTTTCTAGTGACTTAAATTCATAAATATATTCATATTTCTACTGTTAATTAAAACGTCGCTATCTTTGGCATTAATTTGGAAGAAACTACATTTCTCAATGGGTAATTGACATATGAAGATTATTTATTGTTTAACAAATTCATTTAAGGTAAAGTAAACTTTTATTTAGTATGTATTTTCAATGATTGAAACCCTATAATCGAATACTCCACAATCTAATTACTTTTATTAACCCATTTACCAAAAAAGTTAGGCAAAAAGTTAGATATCCAAAGAATCTTGTCTCTTCAAAAATGTTTTGAGATCCTTTCATCCCATATTTTATTTATAAATTTTTAAGACAGGTTATCATTTTTTGCTTCTAATTTTGAATATATTTTTTTGCTTTTATTTAACCATTTGACAATTACATTTAACGTTGCTTTTGAAGAAGCCTTAGCATAATCCAATATTCCGATAATTTCCGTAGCTCGATATTTTTCGATATTCGTACACTGGCACCAGCATTCACTTGATCCGCGCTCAGCTGATCGTGATCGCGATCTCGACCATTAACGAAATTATTCAGCAATGCACCGAAACACGTTTATTGCTGCCTCAAATGCGTTGACACTTGGCCAATTCGGAACCCTTTCCGGAGGGGGGGCTTGGAGAGGGTGTTGTGATCGCAATTTGCAACTGCACTCGGGGCTCGATTTTAATTGTGATACAGCTGCACTCGCGGAATGGCGAAAATGCATTGCACTTGCGACAGAACACAGAATTCCTGGCAAAAAGACGCGAACGGGAACTCGAAACTCGTAACTCGAACCAGAACTGCAGCGGAGTGCACTTGGCTGGAACGCGCGCGCGAAAGTGGACAGTGGCCGGCCACTTGGGTTTGGGCCAGGCTTAATTCGGCTGCTGGCTGGTGCTGACTACGGGCTACTGCTACTGACTTGGCGAGCAGCGGCAAAAAGTTGCTGCCAAGCTCGCAAGAATTCCGAACTCGAATGCTGAGTGCGGCCACGAAAAAAAGCATTCAAATGCCTCGCACTCGCGCCAAATCGCAGCGCGAGCTTCCCCTCTCTTTCCCACGCGCTCTCCGTCTCGCTCGCTCCCGCGTGGGGAGAGGCTTTGGGGCAGACGGCGACGCCTGCGCAGCCGCTTTTTTACTCCTTTTGCTCTGCTCCACTGTCGTCTTTGGGGGGGCAAAAACTAGTTCGCTCGCTCTCTCTCTCTCTTAGTGCCAAAAGCCCGTTGGGCTCTCTTTGGCTGTCGTCTCTCGCTCTCTCTGTTGCTCCCCAGAAAAAATTGTTTGTGGTTTTTCCTGCTTCTCGCTTTTTGCCGGCTCCATCGTCGTCGTAGTCTCTTGAGCAACTTTGATTTGATTTTGGGGTTTTTGCTTGAGTGGCTTTTCTTTTCTCCTGACTTTGAGCATGAATGAGCATATTGCATGTTGCACGTTGCCCGTTGCACGCTCTGTGACGAGTGCTGCGTCTTTTTATATGGCTAAATCTTTATGGAAAAAAGTCGGGGGCGTTATAATGACTAAAAATGAAAGTCCACATCCGTCAATGGAGGCTAGATTATGAATTAATCGATATTAATAAGCTGGTTTATTAACTATTAACTCTGAATAGATACGGTTTATTTTGGTTTTATGTTTCTATTATCAAAAAATATGTCTTTAAAAAACATTACAGAAGAAAACAATTTATTTTCAAGTTTCTAGAGCTGACTTTTAGAATTTAAAAGGGAAAGAGCTAAAATAAAACAAAAGAAAAACATAATCTACAAATTCGAAATACATTTTTTATCAACAGCAAATTAGCAACCAAAAAATCTTGCAACTATTCTATTATTGTTTAATAACTTTATCCCAAAATATAATTCAATATGTTGTTTAGCTGTTGAATTCTTTAAAAATAATTTTTAATTTGTTCTTGGTTGATTGTTATTAAAAACCAAAGCTACTGGCAGATCAATTTCATTTTCACTTAGAAACAACCATTATGCTAATCTTGTCTCAGATTTTCAATTTCCCAGCTTTTAATGTCAATATCGAATGAGAAATAAACTCGTATTTAATGTCTTCTTTGCGATCCCAAATGCATAATTTTCCACAGAAGATAAAACACACACAAAAAAGACGCATCCGCCGACCATTAGCCCATTGACCAACTTCGATGGCGCAGCACCACGCGTAGTAATGAGTTTTTAATACATGTAATATTCAAATTAAAAATCCGCAAAAACTACCAAAGTCGGCGAAGTGGCTAACAAAAAGCGAAATACACTTTTTCTGGCTAATAATCGCACATATTCATTTCAGGCGGCGGCACTGAAAAAATTTCACTCATACGCAGTGTGAGCCAAGCTCAAGAGCAACCGGGGGAAAAAGCGGCGAGGCGCTCTTAAAAAAAAACGAAGCCAGCGAAAGGCAAACAAAAAGCGGGAAAGAGCGTGCGGAACAGAGAGGGCGTGAGCCAGTGTGCGAGCAGGGCGGCATGCAGGCGAAGGCGGTGGAATTTTTATTGGAGCACTTGGTTTATTTCTTTTTTCGCTGCTCGCCTCTCGATTGGCATCGTTTTTTGCGAGTATTCCTTTTTTCCCCTCTCTTGTTTTAATTTTTTTTAGTTGTCTTTTTTTTTTAGTTTGGACTTCTGACAAGGCATTTTTTATGGGCTCGGACATGTGTCGCAGGCGACGGCGGGTGGAAAAAAGACAGCAGTAGCCGCAGCAGCAGATTTTTGGCTCAGTTCGGTTCTGTGACAACTGCAACTGCCATTGCAACTGCAGCCATTCCTCGGGGAAAAAGGTCGAAATAAATGAAATTAAAATGCAAGTGCTGCATGGGAAGGCCGTTTATTTAGTTAATCAATGCAATTGGGCCCATCCACCTGGGGGAAGCAGTACTTAAAGTAAAGGCACAGGGAAAAATTTGCGTCGTATTTGTTGATTTTAAGCTGATAAATTAAATTACAAATAATAATTAAATTATAAATAACTAAACTTTAAAGAAGGTCTTCTGTGTTATGAAATAAATAAAAAATATCAACAAATAACCTTTGTAACAGAAAATAAAATCCTAAAATCAACCTAACTTGTCCCAAACTGATTTTAAAGTAATGAAAATGTTGTGCTTTGTTCGTTCTAATTAAAAAGTATTGGGAATCAAACATTTAAAATCAATAATCTATAAAAAATATATATTTTTTTAATTAATTAAACATAAACTAAAGTTATTATGATAGAATTAAAGCAAAAACTATGCAACTTTTTAGTTTTTAATAAGTTAAATTTATTTTAATCATTAAAACTAATAATAGGGTTTCTAAATAAATGTCTAACAAGTATTGGTTTTAGCTTCATTTAATCAAAAAATTACAACTTGATGGAAAGATTGAAGGAAATGGTTTCAGTGTAGTATGTCAAATATGTTTGTTTTCTTTGTTAAGAATGCTGCTGGCTTTTCCATGCTCGAATCACTAGGAAATTGCTTCATTTAGCAGCAGAAATGGTCTGTCTTTGGCCGCCGGCAAGTTTAATGTTCAGTAGTTTCCCTTTCAGTTTATCAGCTAATTTGATTATTTCACCTAATTGCCCACCCGCTGCAATTACATATTTTTTATGGTCACTCATTTGTCGAGGTCCCATTTTTACGGGCTTTTCGTGCTGCTTTTCATTTAGTTGAGTGCAATTCGTATTTGTTATCGGCTTTCGACTGTCGCCGCCCTTGTTTGCAGTGTCATCAGAGCCATTTTGTATTTGCATAAAAGGCAGCCATTTTCCACGATTCCACGGAGATAAGAAAGGCACTCTGATGGGCCTTGCGTATATGTATTTTAATAACATAGTTGTTTTGTTTATTTATATTTTGGATGAAAGATTAATATACATTTTTTGTAAGGATATTGATATTGATGTTCTTGATTAGCATCATTAGGCGTGTCGATTTGGCCATGTCTGATAGAAATGTAAAATGAATTCATTTTTATTAAATTTTTAGAAAATGTTGCAAGGGCTGACCCTTATAAAATTCTTAATAAAAAACACATTATATTATTTAAATTTTAGATTACATGTTCTGATTTGTTAGTCTGATAAAGCAAACTAAGGAATTTTTGTTAGTTATGACCTGTTTAAAATTAGGCTTAGATCCATTTGCAAACTGAAAGGATATTTAAACTTCGGCTTCCAGTAGTTGCTTTCCTTTTATGTTTGATTGTAAATTAAATATAAAAACATTTTTCTGCATTAATATTAATTTCATCAGAAGTAAAACTGGCTGAAAAAGTACGACAGCAGAGATTTCTATAATATCTGCAATTTTTCTGCCTTGTTTTATATTTCCCCTTTTTATCATGCTCATCGGATGACCATATTGTTATCTGAAAAGCCATTCAATTAAGTAGTATAATTATTTTAATATAATAATTTATAATTTTGTCTAGTGTATTTATATTTTCAACACGTTTATGATATTTAATTTTCTATGTTCCAATATATCAAAGTTTAGTGGATAAACTGTAAACCCTTCTATATATATATTTATACAAGGTATATGGTAAATATCAACAAAAACTAAAGGTAAAAATAACATTTGTTGTCTTATATAAACATTTTTTTAATTTTATTCTAGATGGAATGTTAAATGTATTGAATGTCTTTCTTTTATAACAAATAAATATTCTGTTTCCCTTCGTTTCTTATTTGTTTATTCAACTAAAATTTAACACAAGACCTTTAGCAAATTGGTTTTTGATATTTTCCAGAAGGATACTAAGGGCTAGAAAACCATGGACACACACAGAAGCACTTTAAGTTGGCAGTGACCGCCGCACCGCAATGCAAAATCCGCATCCAGCTGCATGATGGCGCAAATTTATCGCCGCAAACCGCAGCGGGACAGATAACTGATGCGGCTGCTCCGGCAGCATCTGCAGTGCGGCGCCACAAACTCCAGAGGCCTCCGAGCGAGATGTCAGAATGCGGGAGCAGAGGTGGTTGCCAGAAGCCAGAACCCAGAGCCTGGATAGCCGTCATGCTTGGTCATGGACGCCAAATGGTTGACAGACTCTCCAGACAGCTGCAATGGCGCAGGGGCAGGGTTTGGCCTGATGGACTGGCTCTGGGCTGAGGGCTCCCGACCGCGTTGCATCGAGGGTCTGGAGAGGCCCCGCCCACTGGCCTGAATGCTTTTTGCCCATTGGCCGGAACGGGTTGGCCAACGGGCGACAGAGCGAGACAACAGGGCGCATGAGCGATAATTGCAGCGAGAGCGAGCGAGGGGCCACCAACGGAATGGTGGCCCGACAGAGACAGAGAGACCCAGGCGAGTGAGTGGAACAGAGACAGCAAGGCCTTAAGAGCGGGCTTTAAGCCAAGACTGGACTCTGCTCTCTCTCTCTCCCTCTCTCTTCTGGCCCGGCTCTCTGGGCCAATTCTGCAACACGTGTTGGCGTGTTGGCCTGCGTGCAAAATAGCCGAGTTTTTTTCTTCGCTTTTTCAGCCGCTCATCCGACGCGTATTTTGTTAATTTAATTAAACAAAAACGTTTTGTTTGTGTTTTTTTCATTTGCCATTGTTGGCCCAATGCTTTTTGCCCGTCGCATCGCACAAAATGAAATTGGAATCGCGCTCGTGCACAACTTTGAATATGTTGAGCTCTCTCAAATTGCAGTTGTCGATTCGATATTTGCCCGTCTGCTGTGACATTTTTCGCTTTTTGTGGCCCCGTGTTTTCCTCGGCTGCCACTAACATGTTGTATTTGCCGTTTAATGACTTGGCCCGTTAAGTTTTAATTGAAATATCACACATTGGGCCACGGCAATGGCAAGTGTAATTGGGAGAGTGTTTTCTGCAGGGCTTTAATTGGGAATTTATTTGGAATTTAAGCTTGAAACACGGCTTAATTTACTTTAAATTTTGAATGGATTGGTAAAAGTAATACATTTTTTAAATACTGTTTTTACTATTATTATATTTATGTATATGCTCTAGTTTTGGTAGCCCTCCTATTACAACATTCTAGTTTTTCCCCCAATTTTTTTGGTATGTAATTTAAAAATATTGCCTTTCTCCCTAAATATCGGAAGATAAGAACATAAATAATGTGCTTCAAGCTAACTAGGTTAATTTCCAAAAAATACAAGACACTGGCCAATTTAAAAACGGAAGCAAAAAACTGACTCTAATTCAGAACTCGCATGTTTGTCGGCCAACACTGAAACCGAGAAAGTCTTAAAGCTTCCGCACGTGACTTCCGCGGCAATTGTCGACCTGCCCGATGGGTGATGAGTCCAGAGTTCCACTTGAAGGTGCTGTGTCTTGGCCATCTTCGACCGACAGCCTGAAAAGTTAACGATTGCAGCTGTAATTGGAGCCGGGCCAGGCCGTAGTCGAGGCGTAGGCGATTAAAAGGCGATTATATCAATTGTGGCCAGAGAAATAATGATGCAGACGACGGATGGTTGGATGGATGGATGGGAAGATGCTGTCACCTGTCAACGAATTCGGCTTAGCTGTTATGTTAATGCGCCAAAACCGCTGACATTTATTGGCACTTATTTATGGAGGACACTTCGCGCGGACTCTCTCGGCGTACAGACCCATTTTTGGGGTCGAGCCTTTTCGGAGACCAGTGCTGCCCGACTATGGAAAACTCTGTAATTGTGCAGGTGACAACGCGACTGGCACGCGCTGCTGATGCTGACGCTGATTAGACGCACTTGCACCTGCAGTGGCCTGCACTCTGAGGCTCTGCAGATACTTCATCTGGAGTCACGCTCGTTTGTCTGCTGGCATATGACCATAAAGATGTTATTAATTATGACAATATTGGAGTAAAAGTGTTTGCTTCAAGTCGCTGTCCCGGAAAGGAGTGCTGAGACACTCCCTCGAGGATACATTGTATCCTGAATAGAACTTAGACAATGCAGAATCTTACAGTGGTAAGCAAATAGAGCTCAGATTTTTATTAAGTCAAAATTTAAGTTTAAGATCTATAACCTTATTTAATTTTAATGATATTATATTTCCTATAGAACTCTTTTAATTAAAAATCACCCTTTCTATTAGTATGAAACGCACTGTACGGCTAATTTACACCTGAGAGATTCGTTTGTGAGATGCTTGACTAATGAGTTTATTAGTATTTATATGGTCATCTCTACAGAGCTCGCGGCTAGGCATATTCAAATGAAAAGCTACTTTTCTGTCCCGGATCACTACGATCTTCCAGGAAGAATCTATATCGAGGAGGCACGTGTCATTCCTGGACCAGTCTCATGCGATGTCCATATTGGATGGGTGTTCGATTTGTCACAGCATCCCAAAATGGGGCATTCAAGGCTGGACTTGGTATTGTAAAAATATTTAAGATCTCAGGTGAGGACACCATTCATATCATCCATTAATTTAGAACTTTTGCTTAGATTAATACATGAACATTTTGATTAAATTTTATTTAACAAAATTAAGCACTAAAAGTTTATTGATTTAATTTTAATTCACAACTCATCCCTAGATCGGTTGAGCAAGGTATAGCGGTGCTTTGAGGGCAGCAGTTCCTTGAACTTGGACTCGTGGATAGCCGGCGGGGTCAAAACTTCAACGGCCGTCTCAATCGTCTCTTCAAAGGAATCTTTTGGATTGTGGTAATCCAAGTGATGCTGTCCAGTGAACAAGTCATCGATAAACTTTTTCAGGACTCCCGGCTGGTGAATATCCGCGAACTTCGGAAAGACGTACATATGTTGGAAGGAGTCTATGGCAATTACGGGCAGATCGTCCATCGATTTTCCCATATGGAATAGTGGGTGACCGAAGAGAGCTCCATCGGCAGTCAAGAAGTTAACCCTCTTCTCGTCCGCCAACTGGGTCTTGACTACGGTCTGGAACTCTCGGACAGGACCCAGATCGTTCTTGTTGTAAAAGGCTATAAGAAGGGGCAGACCCTCCTCCGTGAGCTCCTCGGCATTATCGAAGGTTATATCCCGCACCAAAGGCTTACACTTGTCGGACACCCAGGACATCAAGTCCATGAAGTTGGTAAGGTTGCCCGAGTACTCACTGTAGTACTCTTTGTAGTTAATGTTTAAGAAGTCTGCGCGGAAGATGAGCAGATTCTCGCCAGGCGGATGCAGGTCTCTGCTCACCTCACCGAAGCCCACCATAAACCTGTAATATTTTTTGTTGATAATTTTTCTAATAACAAAATAAAAATGAAACCCACTTGCAGTCGTTGCGGTAAATTCTTGCTACCCTACGGTAGCTCAGGTACTCCTCGTGATCCCTGGATATAAAATAGCCAATGACTAGTCCATCTCCCACGTCGGCGTCGTGTAGTTCACTGATGTTCTGGAACTCCTTGATGGGACCCGATAGCTCCCGCTCCACGAACTCGACGAAGGCCTTGACGGATCTCTGGCCCCGGTATTCCTGATTAATGGTCAGTCCGCTCTTGGCCACCTTCAGCGTGGGGTACTTGAAAATATCGAACCTGTTAGCCACTTCCGACTCGTCATCGCAGTTCACCTTGCCCAGGATCACACGACCGTCTTCAGGGAACTGCTCGCGAATCCTTGCCGCCGCCTCCTCGAAAATGGGTTCCAGCTGCTTGCTAAAACGGCACCAATCCACATAAAAGTTGAGCAGCACCACGTCATTGGATTTGATGATGTTTTCCCAGTTTTCATTGGTAATCACCACCGCAGACCCTCCAGTGGCTGGGTAGAGTTTACAGCATAGAATTGTTAGTGGGATGAGGATATCCCAACTACCGGTCACCTTCATTTTCTTCACGCGACTAATGACGTTGATGGTCTTTGTTCCAAGTAAACTATTGAATTTGTTTCGCGAAATTGCAATTTAGAGGGTATATCAAATGGATTCGCTTTGGTAAGGAAACTAGCTTTGCGTGCAATAGTTTAAAATATATATCTGAAAGTAAGTATGATTTATCCGAAAGGTGTATATTATTTCAGAGAGTTTCAATGTAGGGAACTACGAATATACCTATGCTTAACTCTTTTAACTATAGATATGTAATACATGTTACCTTGAAACTGAGATGTATCCATTTCTTTCCTAGATATATATACTTATAGATGAGATACTTCCACGATGCTAATGATGCGTCATGGTCGTGGGACTGTGTCTGCGTATTGAGACGAATTTCCAGCAGACAATTTGGCAAGCTGTCAACGCCACTCACAGTTAAAGGGGGCGTGGTAGCTGGGCGATTTCGAGGGGCAAGGGACTTCGACAACTCGCAGCTAATGATTGTCTGTGAACCGTTAGCCGGCAAGGACATCAATCAATCCGAGAGCTGAGGGCGAGGCGAAACCACCCCCATGGGAGAACTCATCCCCCGTAGCCTGTGGCTTGCTCACGTTAAATAAATAAACAAACTTATAAACTCATTCAAATCATATTTAAAAATCATCGCAGAAGCGGCAGCAGCAACAGCTTGCCCATTCATGAATTATTAGTTGAAGCTTATCAAACGTGACCAAAATCGGAACGGAAAAGTTAATGAAAAAAAGAGCAGCTGTTGCTGCTGCTGCTGCTGCTGCCGAGGGCTCGGGCAAGTGTGAAAAATCAGCAAAAAAAGGAAAGGTCCAGGGGAAAACCGTGCCCGCTGCCACCAAGGAAAGTGGAAAGTCCGGCCGGGAAGACTAACTCACACATGTGCTGCGTTATTATCTTTTGGCCTGACCGCAGGACGTGTCAACTTGCGGCTCCATCTATGCTCCTCATATAAATCAGGCTAAGAAAAACCCAGCCCGTGGACATGCGGGCTGCCAAAGTTCCTTTTTCGCCGGCCAAGCTGCTTATAAATTTTTGAGCAATTCTTACACAATTCCTCTTTCTTCTCCTGGCACAAAAGCAGCTTATTGACAGGCCATGTGACTGAGAGTCTCGTCTGGTTCGTCCTTAGTTGTGGTCAGTACGGCAATCGACAGGACTTGGCCGTCTTAAAGGCGAGGCCTTAAAGCTCTTCAGCAGGTCGGGGCTCCGCCCAAGTGTTTGGGCCATGACTGCCACGCCAAGGTGACGTAATTATAGATGTACTTCGCCTGCCTTCCAGCCAAAGTGCAATGGACGCGGCCCAAAGCAACCCCTTAGCATGCAGCGGACGGCTGACAAAGCAACTCGCCACGGGAGCTTGAGTTCTGCTGCGAAATTCTGAATTCCAAATGCTAAATGGTAAATGGCAAACTGAAAGGATAACAAAGTCAAGGTACGAGTGCAAGACGGCGAAAGGGTTGACACGGCCAAAAAACATAGTAGCCAAGTGGGCGTAAACGTAGACGCCGCGCGGTTGCTTCATAATTGTTAAGGGTATGGGGATCTTTGTAGTGTGTTGTCACCAAAAATAGTCAACTTGTGTAATTTATACTTAGAAATATTCAAGAAATATAAAATTACGGAGAGAATAACAATGGAAAATTAGGAGGGTTAATTAATATCATCAGAAATATCAGAGGGAAATCAAAGCTTAAGAATTTACAGAGACTTAAAAAAATTAATAATAATTATATTTTAAGAATTCTAACTTGTATTCCGCGCAAGTTGGCAACACTGAACAAATGTATCTTGGGGATACTCTTACTCCAGTTGGCAATAGCAAGAGTTAAATTGTCGCCTTTCGGTATCTTGTAATCTGGCAGCTACAAGACGCTGCGACACATTAGCATAAAATCATGATTAAGATACGACGGCATTCTCCAGGCAGTGCGTATCCGTATCTATGTTCTAATGGTCCCAAGTATCTCATGGGTAATTAACGCACACAAGGCAGGCGTAAATCAAGGTTATCTGCCGTTCGAAAAGAAAAGATTCAAAGCCTTTTGGTGAAAAATTGCAATGCGGACACAAGAGTTTGCTTAAAATGCAATTTGTAGATTCGTAGCAGGGACATCCTTTGTTTTTCCCAGTTATTCCTTTTCTTTTCGGCTAGACATTTCCGTTTGACGCAGTTTCTGGATGGCTGCAGGTCTCGTTGGGAAAGTGTCATTAGCATTGATTAATTCGTACCGCGATTTGCATGGGAAAACAATCAATCAACACGTCCTGCTCGTCCTCCATTAGTCAATCTCGAGATTGAGATTGAGATGCACAGCTCCGCCACTTGAACTCGTCTAGAGTGTCACCGGGCAAAGCCATTCCCGGCTGTCCATCCCAGAATCCCAGAATCCTCGAATCCCTTCATCCATCTATCCATCCAGCCTTTTCAGGGACATTAGCAATCGCAATCGTCTACCGTGGGGCACATCATTAACGGCTTTCTGGCGGGGATGTGCCCATCCAAAGAGACGACTGCTCATCAACTGGGCCGGGCCAAAATGTTTATAAAGCTGTTGTTGCCAGTTTGGGTTTAATGAATTACCACGCTCCCACCTCGTGTGAGTGCAAAAGTTTCGACTCCGTTTGGATGTAATTAAAGTGGTCTTTGTGGTTCAGAAGCGGGCGCAGAGCAGGGCCTTAGTCGAAGAGGGGTTGTTCTTATAGAAACTTAAAAATTATCTTAGAAAATTAATTATTAAGTAGTACGGTTACCCTTTTTACAATACGCTTAGAAAACGAATTAGTTACTTACATTTTGCATAATTTTAAAACATTTTCTAGGACTCAACTTTATCCCAACTCTGTAGACCCCTTGGGTACGCCCTCTCTGGCTCGGCTAGATTATCGTAGGCATAATTAAGCCACATCAATGTCGTGTTAAGTAGCCGGCCGACTAATGATAGCAACATTTGCAACAAAAGCCAATTGTTAAACACAAGGAACTCTGGGCTAAGCTCGTGGGGAAACCCAGGCAAACAGAAGCATTTTGGGACTTTAATTTTTATGCGTGAAAACACAGACCAACAAAGACCCATAAACACGAGAGAAAAAAAAAAGAAAAAACAAACAGCAGCGACCACAGGCGGCACTTAAAATGCGAGACATTCATTTTTCTAGGACAAAAGCAAAGGACACTGCCGGGAGGAGGAGAAAACGGCAGGACACGAGGAAATTCAATTAGCCTGAGAACTTTCGGGTTGGCTTCACCGTTTGGGCAACGTTTGCTTAGGTAATGTTTCAATTAATTCGGTCCCCGGACCTCATCTGTCTGGTCAGTCCCCCAACTAATGATACCCGGGGACTGGGTGGTCCGTACAGCATAGGCATCGATGGCATTAGATGATCGCCCGGGATGATGCATGGGATTTCCATCTCCAGCAGAACAAATCAAATCAATTGCCTGCAATTAATAACACCAATCCAAGAGCATCGATACAGACTGTGACAGCATTTCATTATTTGTTATATATTTCAAAGATATTTATTTGATAAACGCCGCCGACTTTGCCGTCAGACGCCAAAAATCTCATCGCTTTAAGTGGCTCATTTCGGTAAGATTCGGGGGCTGGGACCGGGTCCTTTGCAGCCATAACCGCAGGCAATGAACCAACACCACGACTGCAAAAAAAAGAATCGGGCAGGGCTCCACGGCTACCGGGTAACATATCAAAACGCCGCAAATGGGCAAAGAAAAAATAAAATCATATGAACACGGAGTGCCGAAAAAAAGGCAAGCATGCGACGTCGTCTAAAGGATTTGCCCCATGGCAGGCAACGGCAAAGACAAAGTAGCTGCGTTCCCGCAAAAAAAAAGAAAGAACTAAAAAAGAGGAAACCCTGAAAAGACCCAAAAATGTGCTGAGCCAAGACCCACTATGTGGATATATTTGGGAATTTATGCCGCGATTTTGAAATGAAAAAGTACGGAAAAAACGGAAAAATAAAAGTGAAATAAAGCCAACGAGGACTCGCAGCGGCGGCAGAAGTCAGAAGAGAATTGCGTATTCGGTAGCCCGCAAGTGTCAACCAAATAAATTTTGAAGAACTCGTTTTGGGTAAAGCAGCAGACGAATAAGGGATGTCCTTTTTGGGTAAGGTAAGAATAAAGAGATTGTTGTCTTAAATGGGTTAATATTTTATTTTGTTGTACTTATTTAGTTTTTTAGAAATACAATCAATATAAAATTAAAAACACTTAAGATACTATTATTATAATTAGGATACTTGGCTTATAAAATGTTTAAAATTACAGAAATATTATTTTATTTAAGTTGTATTAAAAATACCATTACTTCCATTATATTTAAATTTTAAATATTTAAAAAAATGTAAATAAAAGGGGTAAGAATAATGTATATAGTCAATGGTCCTGACATCATGTACCATAAGTTTCTTTTGGGTTCTCTGTTTATTATGCAATTCTTAGATCAAATATATATTTTATTACCCTTTTTTTTAACATGCGGTTACGTTTTGAATCAATTTTAATATATTTTTATTTAAGAAAAAAATAAGAAAAGATCAGTATGCTTACTTAACTACCAAAAGTCAAAGGATCAGAAATATTATATATTAAATTTATTATTATAAATTTATTATTATAAATTTAATCAAAATAAAGCTAATTAAAAGCTAATATATTGGTCCCTAATTATACTTTTAAGTCCTCTAAAATAATTTTTTTTGGCAGGGTATTCCGTCATCCTATATATATTCTACCTTGCATGTGAGTCACTTGTGGAGCTCCTTGCATCGCTAAACTGAAGTTCACACTAGGCTGCGTTAATCCAATATGTGATTACGAGTGTTCTGACTTTAAGCATCTGTTAAATTGGCTTAATCCACGTCTCGGTGTGCGTGTGAGCCGCCGTCTGGGTTGGCCTTCGAGGGCCCTGGTATCTCCCGCTGCCACTTTGTAACTGTTGTCATTTTTATTGCCCTGGGAATGTTTTTTGT